GCTGTGTGAAGCAAATGGTACATTGGCTTCTGTGTCAGTCTCAAGGTAGCAGCTGAAGCATAAACTGGGGATGGAAAAAGGACTTAATATGCTCACACACACACCTTGTTGTTTTGTTTCGGGCTCTTTTTGTCCATTAATTTGACACTGCTTCTCCTGGGAAGAGCGTGGATGGGAGAAGTGGTGTTTGCCCATTTGTTCCATCTGCTCTGCTCACACCTCGGGGCAGGAGGGCTGGGGCTGCCTTCAGCAAGTGCCATCCTGAGTGACCAAGGGCAATGGACGGGGACCAGCCGTGTGTGCAAGCGTGGTCAGACCCTCCTGGGGCCTCTCTGACTGCAGCACCCTGCAGCAGAAGAGCCTCAGGCTCCTTGCTTGCTGCAGACAGGAGCAGGAATCATCATTGCAGCCAGGAAGGATGAATCCCACTAACTGCTCTGTGAGGTGTTTCCTTCTTGTGAAAACTGGTGGGATGAAACCCACAGATATTGCCCATATAAATGCCTGCCTTTGGATTTCTCACTCCTCCTCGTGCTGCTGAGCTGGTGGCACCAGTGGCACTTCCCCTGGTGCCTTGCACCCACAATGGTTGCTCTATGGTTTTGCCCTCCATGCTGCATTGCTGGGCCTGGATGATCCAGAGCTTTGTTACTTCCAGTTTTTCAGGGCCTTGTCCCAATTTCCTGACCCCTATGACCAAGATGAGTCCCAAGCAGCCAGGTGAGGACTCGGCACTGGACTGACAGTGTCTGTCTGTGTGTCTGCTGCAAGCAGGGGGAAGAGCTGCCTTGGGGCTGGCTGTGAGCTCAGCTCTCCTCTGCCAAGGTTGAGTTCAGCTGCCATCAGGTGCAGTGATGATGTCAGTGGGCAGCTCTCGGGGAGGAGGTGTGTATCAGTGCCACTGCTGAGAGCTTTTATTTGTCACACTGTCATTTACCTGAGCAGAGCAGGCACGTGCTGCCACGCACGTGAAGGGGGAAGCGTGATGGAGTGTCATTAGAACAAGGTCTGGCTGATTGGGAGCTCCATCACCAAACATCTTGTGAAAAACGAGCTTCACATACTTTTATACAGAATTTAAAAGTTTAATAGAAAGACAATTAGGAGATAAAATAAAGTATACAGATACGGCCGGGCGTCTCTGCATTCACCTTACTAACAAAGGATTGTCCCTTAAAAACAGAACCCTACTACATATCCATAAATTCTCATACATATTCACACATTCTTCTTAAGTTTTTTGATGTTCCTTTGTTTAGTTTTTTACCTTGCCCCCTTCCCAATAGATCAATCTTCTTGGTGCCACTGGGTTTTACATCCTCTAATAAGGATGCAATAAATTCTTCTCTTGGGGGTCTTGGAGGACAAGATAATCTTAAGAATGTGTGTGGGGGGTGTCTCTGACTATCTTTTCAGTCTCTGGGTTATATAAACAAAAGTAGTTTGAGCTTTAATATCATGTTATAGCCTAACATATATGTGTATTATTCCACTATTTCTTAATTTCATCGATAACTGAAATAAAAGAAACTATATTAATACAACAAAGTTTTCTAGCCTTATACATATTCAGTATAATATTTGTGAAAAGCCAATAATATAATATGCACTTATAACAACCTGTATCTTGCTGCTGCATTGGTTTACTCAAATCACCCTGAGTTATTGCAGACCTCTGAGGTTTACCCTCTGTATGTTTACTGTGGCCAGCTGGAAAAGCACACGTTTTTCACTTGTCCTGTGTTGAGCACTAATTAAGTTCTTCTCTTCTAAAAGCATTTTGGGATGAAATAATTAACAGGCAGGTAAGCCACCACCAGTGTGAAACCTTGTGGAGCTGTTTCCACTTCCCCTGGACCTTTCCTCTCTCTCATCCCATTTCTCCTGCTTTCCTCGCAGTTTATGAGCTGGTAAATCACATTCAGGTCCCTGCTTTGCTCTGCACGTAAGCAGTGGTGTGATCCTGTGGAATAAATGTGTGTGGTGGGAATGCCTTTAGCAAAGCACACCCTGTGTCCCCCCAGCCTTGAGACCACACAGCTCATGGCTTTATTATTTATCCTGGTGAGCTGTCCTCGAAGCTGAGAACCTGGCCTCATGCATGTCCCTGAATTACTGCACCAAAGCTGTGGAAGGACCTGAGTTTCAGCACTGACTGATATGAATAGGTCTGCCTGCAGCTAAAAATAGAAAGCACGGGGCAGGCTTCCAGGCAGAGCTGTAGTAAATTCTAATACAAGGTGGCTCAGCAGCAGCTCCTGTGGCAAAGCTTCCTCCCAGGCAGTGGGGAAGGCTGTGGTGTGTGCTCAAGCCAATATTAGACAACAGTTTCCCTATGGGAAACAACTTGTGAGCTGCAAAGACCAACAATGAGTTTCAAAGCTTTTTTTTCCCCTGGTGCTGGGGTGCCCAGCTCTGCAGGAATGACTCCTTGGCTCCGTGCCTCAGTTTCCCCTCTGCAGGGGACTCTGGGTGCTGCAGGAGATGCAGTTTGGCTGCACAGGTTCTGGGTGCTGCAGGAGATGCAGTTTGGCTGCACAGGTTCTGGGTGCTGCAGGAGATGCAGTTTGGCTGCACGGGTTCTGGGTGCTGCAGGAGATGCAGTTTGGCTGCACAGGTTCTGGGTGCTGCAGGAGATGCAGTTTGGCTGCACAGGTTCTGGGTGCTGCAGGAGATGCAGTTTGGCTGCACAGATTTCTGGCTCTCTCTGCAGCAGTGAAGCTGCAGCTCCAGGGCAGATGTGCAGCCCCCAGCCCTGGGAGCCTGTTCTGCTCCACCACCACCCCTGGTGCTCTGGTTTCTCCTCCTCCACTGAAGTGTTGGCTCATTTCCCCGCTCTCCAGGCCAGCAGGAAGAGGCACAGATCTCAGCTCTGCTGCCCAGCTCAGTGGCCTTGCTGGCAATCAAGTGTTTCCTCCTCGCAGGACCGTGGCTTTTGGAACTCTGTGCAACTCATTCATCACGGGAAGTTATTTCTCTGTTTATTAGGGCTTATGTGCTGTGAAAATCTGTCCCCCCAGAGTCCCCGTGCCATCAGTCATGACAATGGCCCGTCACAGCCGCGCTGTCTCAGTGAGTGGCTCATTGTCCCCGTGCTGGGGCATATGGTCTCCTGCCTTGCTGCTGCCCCACACATGGGCTTCTGCACGGGGAGCAGCTGTGGAGAGGCTCAGTGGAGCTCCCGAGGGTCAGCCGAGTGTAATATCCGTGAGGAAGAGCGCGAGGAGGCAGCGCAGGGCCGGCTCTCCGGAGCATGGCCCGGGAGCAGCGGCGCAGAAACGCGCCTGGGGTGGAGGCCAGCAGCAGGGCAGCAGGACAGGGCTCAGGGAGGGCTCCTGCTGGGCTCAGCTGTGTTTGTACACAATGAAAGGGCTGTGATCTTTGCCTCCTGGGCAGAGCACTGCTCCTGCATCCACCCGAGTGGCCCCTTGGTGCAGGACGAGGCCGCTCTGGAGCTGGAGGCACCTTTCAGGGTGGAAGAGCTCTTGGGGCTGTTGCACCGACCACAGAGTGACCCACAGGGCTGGGACCTTCCCCTGCAAAGGTGCTGAGCTGTTCCAGAGGCTGAGAAATCCATGCTGGAGAGGGAAAGCGTGGGATGGGGCTGTGCAAAGCTCTTTGGGATCCTGGATCCTTCAGTCTGGAAAAGCACTAATGGTGCTTTGGGAGCAGGCACCCATCCCTGGAGACCTGGGTCCCACAGAGGTTGGGCAGATCAAATCCTGGGTTTCCAGGGCCATTCCTGATGTTAGGACAGGCAATGAGGCTGTGGGAAGCAGGAACATCCCCTCCCATCCCCCTGAATCCTTCTGGATGCAGGAACATCCTCTCCCATCCCTCTGTATCTCTCTGGAGCCCCCCAAGCAGCCCCATCCCCCTGGATAAAACATTCCAGGGCAGCTTCAGGATGAGCCAGGCAGGGACCTGCCCCATTCCTGTGGAATTCATGGAGAGGCCTGGAGAAGTTTTCTGTGTCCCATCATTTATTCATCATCCCTAAAAACACCTGGGACAATGCCAGGACACCGGGATGGTGCCAGAGGGTGATGTGGGAATGTGGGACTGACATTATGGATGCTGCAGGGGACAGCAGGACCTGATGTGAGAACTTCTCTCAGGAACTTGGGCCAGGTCAGAGCTTGGCTCATCCCCTACAAGTGACCCGAGTGGGTCCCCTCATCCCAAACCCATCCCACAGATCCTGGAAGAGAGAGGTAAATGCTCCAGCCCCGTTTCCCGGTAAAAAACCCCACCAGGAATAAATCCCGAGGCCAAAATCCCTCCGAGCTCCCCCATCCCTGTGGATGAGGAGTGGGAATTCCCCGGGAATTCCCGCAGGGCACGGGGATGCCCTGGCCGGGCGATGGCACTGAGTGTCCCCAGGGCCATTGCTGATCAGGGCCACTGTCACCCTCCGTGCCCACCAGCGGCGGTGCCAATCAGCGCAATTAACATTCACAAGCTAATTAATCTCTGGATTCCTCCTGCCGGCTCTGCCCCTCTGCTCTCCATGCAGATGAACTCGTTACGGTGCCCTCATTAGCCAGGCGCAATTCCAGGGAAATCGGGCACGGGAGGATCCCAAAGCGCCCGGGAGGGGTTGGCACATCCCCAGTTCTGAATGCACCGCCTGGATTTTGGGGAATTCCCGGGAAGATCAGGGAGGAGATGTCCGGGAGAGCCTCGCTGGCCAAAATGGGCTCCGGCTGAGGGAGTCAGGGGGACACGGATGGCATTGATGCCACCGCAGCCGTGCAGGACATGGGACAAACGGGACAATTCCCGGCTGCAGGGGGAGGGAATCACCCTCGGGAGGGATGGGGCCAGCTGCATCCCAGCTGCATCCCGTTATCCCGAGTGGGATGCCCAGCTGGATCCCGTTATCCCGAGTGGGATGCCCAGCTGGGTCCCGTTATCCCGAGTGGGATGCCCAGCTGGATCCCGTTATCCCTGCGGGGGAAATCCCTCGGGATGCTCCCATAAAAAGCTCCCGACAGCTCCCTTTTCCACGCGCTGCTTCTCCTGGGGCCAGGATGGGGTTTGGGAGCAGCTTTGGGGTCGCTCTGCTTTGCTGGGTGTTGGCTCCGGCCGCATCCTCCGATCCCTGGGGTTTTCCCCCGAGGAGCTCCGGGACGTGGCGGCTGCGGGGTGACTCCTCCCGGAGCCGTGTCCCCGGCGTGTCGCAGCCCTGGNTGAGGAGTGCCTGGAGCAGGGGTGGATTTTGGGGTACGGGTATCCTGGCCGAGGCACACACTCTGCAGAGGGTTTGGATGCAGGAATTTATGGGATAGTGGGTCCTGAGGTGAGGTGCCCAAGTCCTGGAGGCTCTGTGGCCTCCTTCAGGCTGCTGCATTGTTGGGATGCCAGCACAAAGCTCTGTGGTGTCCCCTAGGACTGGGAATTGTGGCCTCTGTGTCCCAGGACGATCCCTGCTGGTGCCAAGTTTGTTTTCCTGATTTTTTTCCCTCTCCCAAACCCTCCTTCCAGGTGACCCCAGACTCCCTGATCTACAGAACCACCCTGTTCTACAAGCCCACCCGTGTTGGCAACCCCCTTATCGTGAGGACCACCCCAGCCGAGGTCCCCATTGAGTGTCACTACCCCAGGTGAGTGCTGGGGGTGTCCCCATGCTGCCATGGCCCTGAGGTGCCGGTGCCACCCCAGGTAATTCCCACTGCTTCCATTTAGGAGGAGCAACGTGAGCAGCGGTGCCGTGCACCCCACGTGGGCCCCGTTCCACGCCACGGCGGCGGCAGAGGAGCGGCTCCAGTTCTCCCTGCGCCTCATGGACGGTGGGTGCAGCCCTGGTGGCCTCGTGTCCCTCAGGTCCCTGTTCCATGTAGCTCCTGGGAGCCCCAGTGGAGCCACATCCACCCCACGGGGGTTCCTGCACATTCCCACGCTCCTGGGAGCTCCCCAGAGTGACCCCATTCCCTGGGATCTGCATTCCAGATGACTGGAGCAGAGAGAGGCTCTCCAATGGCTTCCAGCTTGGGGACAGCCTCCGCTTCCAGGCCGATGTCACCTCGGAGGGCCACGTGCCCCTGCGGCTCTTCGTGGATCAGTGCGTGGCCACCGCGACCCCCGACAGGAGCTCGTCCCCCCGCTACGCCTTCATCGACCTGGGCGGGTGAGGCTGGGCTCTGGGGCTGGCTGGAGAATCCCAGATTCCTGTGGAGGCTCCCGAGTGATTCCCAGCCTTTCTCCAGGTGTCTGGTGGACAGCAGGGCAGAGGACACCGGCTCAGCCTTCGTGTCCCCGCGGCCCCGGCTGGAGTCGCTGCGGTTCTTGGTGGACGCCTTCAAATTCGCCGGAGACGCTGGGAATTTGGTGAGCTATTGTTTCCACCCCTCTTCCTTTCTTGGCTTTTCCTCCATGGAAAAAAGCCCTAAAATCTCCATGATTAATGAATTTCCCTCGATTTCCCCTGCCAGCTCTACATCAGCTGCCACCTGCGGGTGTCCCCGGCAGCTCAAGCCCCAAATCCCTGGAATAAAGCCTGTTCCTTCAGCAAAGCCAGCGGCCTGTGAGTGTCCCTGGTGCAGGGAGGGGACCCGCCCCAGCCTGCAGCAGGGGGGTCACAGGTGACTCTGTTCCAGGTGGGCACCTTTGGAGGGCACTGCAGCCATCTGCAGCTGCTGTGACACCGGCAGCTGTCCCTCTCCTGGAGGAGATTCCCGGGAATTCCGCGCTCCGGCCACGCGGATGGGCAGGCGTGTGAGGAGGGACGGCCCTGGCCAGAGAGGTGTGTCCCAAAGGTGTCCCCAGGGCCCCTCGGGTTTGGGGGCTGGGTTTTTGGCACAGCTGAAGGACAATCCTGGCTCCTCTCCAGTGTCCTTAGGGATTTTTAAAAGGAAAGAGGGGAGTTCTGGGGGATATTGGGAAATGCCATTGTTCATTCCTGGAAGTGACCCCAGGCCAGGCTGGAGCCACCTGGGGTAGTGGGGAGGTGTCCTCGCTCATGGCACTGGATGGGCTTTGAGGTCCTTTCCATCCTAAACCATTCCATTATTCTATCCCAGCTATGTCCTTGCATTTAAAGCCCCTGGCATTCTGCTCTTCTGGTGTCCATCTTCCTGTAATTCCCAAATTCCAGCCCAAGCAGGAATTCCCTCATCTGGATACTCACTCCCTCTTTTTCCAGGTGGGCCCTCAGGGCCGACTGAGGCCGATGTGTCCGTGGGACCCCTGCTAATCCTGGAGCCAGCTCAGGGATTAATGAGCCCCTCTGGAAGTCCAGGACCAGCTGGGAACACCCACCAGGGTAGGGGTCAGTGTGGGGTCCCTGTGGGGTTGTGTCTCCAGGCCTTGCCTGGGGGCTGATCCCACTGTGAATTCCCAGTGATTTCACAGAGGGACTTTCTGGAACGAGCTGCCTTATGGGCTCCTTCCCAAAGATTCCCAAGGATTGGATGGAGGCTGGGAAGCCAATAAATGAGTGTTGACTGGGGGTTTTGTCTCTTCCAGGTGCTGCTGGTGGAATTCCTGTGGTGATCCAGGGGCTCCTGCTGACGGCAGCCACTCTGCTGAGCCTGACTGCCCTGGGAATGCTCCTGGCAATGTGCAGGAAAAGGCTCTGTCCTCTGGGAATGTCCCAGTGATCCCAATCCAAATAAAGAGTGAAGCATTTCTGTCACATCCTGGTGTTCTCTGTGGGGTGGGAGGGGCCCCAGGCAGCTTTGGATGGGAATCCATCTTCCAGGAAAAGGGGGTGGGATTGGGGATGTGGAGCTGCTGCCGCCTGGAAGCGATTCCCAAACCCCCAAGCGCTTGGCTTTAAGAGATACAGGTGGATTTTCCAAAGGTTGTATCCATTGAAAGGAATCCTAAACAAATCAAGGTGTGGCTCCTATTTTAGGGATTTATTGGTGTTCTAAGTTACTTCCTGATTGCAGAATTCCTGTCTTCCCTTCTTTATCCAGTAGGATGCAGGAATTATTCTCCATGATCCCTTGGAGGATGCAAGGGCAGCTGGAATTCTGGGGTTTTTTGTTGGTTTTAGTGCTGAGTTTGGCTTCTCTGCAGGGGAAAACTGGGAAAACCTCAGGGATGGTAAAGGACTAGAGGTGCTTCTGTTTTGCAGGGGTTGGATGGGAATGAGTTTCATTGTTTTTATGGAATGTGAGAGGTCTGGGATGAGCACAGCAATGGGATCACATTCCTTGGGCCCTGGTTAGAGCTGGAAACTCTTCCTGGAGCGCTCCCAAACCTGGGGATCCCATTTCAGGGCAGCTGCAGCTGCTGTGGGTTCTGAGGACATGTGGGAGGAGAAAAGGGTTCCCTTCTTGGGGATGGGTGCTCTCCACACCTCTGCTCTCCTCTTCCCCTGTTTTTTTTCTCCAGAGAGCTTCTGGACCATCTGGGACTGTTGCTGTCCCAGTGCAAAGAGCAGCCTGGTTGGGTAAGCGCTAAATCCTCCTGTAGTTTGGTGGTGTGGGCTTGGTCCATCCTTTGAGGCCATCTCTGCTGCATGCAGGTGGAAGGCAGGACTGAGATTTGCACACCTAAATCTGCTGATTACAACTTTCCATGAGCTAACCACCAGCTCAGCTCCACCTGAGTGATCTCTGGCTCTTCTGAGGCAAAATTGGCACCATCAGTAGGGTGGCAGATTCAATTACTGGCATGGAATAAGATCATCTCCAGGACTTTCTGAGGGATTGAGTGTTCAAAAATTGGTGTAATTGGAATAAAGATAGAGGAACAGCTAAACTGCATGAGAGAGAAACTGAGAAATGGCAAAGAAAAAGGGAATAATATGCAAGATGTTGTAAATGTGTTTGGAAGCAGCGTGTCTTTGTAAGGAATACAAAGAAAAGGAAATGAGACTGTTACAAGATGAGTTTGAACAAAGAAAAGTGACAAAAAGAGATGTTATTCTCTGTGAATAGAACAATTGCAGAAACAACTGGGGTGGGGGAAGGGAAAAAGAGTAGAGGACAAACTAGAATTTATGATCTGATGTATTAGGATCCATTAGTGAATTGCATCCCCAGAAGACTGGGATGGAGGATATATGGAAGGACCCTGCCTGGGAATTTAGGGATGAGAGTAGTGAAGAGAGAATTAGGTGAATTGTAGTTTAAGGGGGCTTCTCTTATTGATATTGAAGTGTCCCCTGGACCTCGAGGGGCTGACCAAAGAAATACCACCAGAACCATCCTGTGGGACCTGCTTCAACTGGATAATTTGCAAGAAAAATATGGTCAGAAGCATGGCAAGGGTGGAACTGGATCTTTGTGGTGTGCCTCTGACTAGGGGAGATAGTATGAAATGCAAGGTGGAGCAGAGGCAGCTTTTGGGGTGTTTTTAACAAGGGAACCAGATTCTAACAATGAATCACATTCCATCACACACTGAGCAGCTTGCTGTGAAAGGGAGTAGACCCCTGGGAATGAGACAAACCACTGCTATCCCCAAATGTTCATTGAGCAGCTTTTAACCCTGTCTCAGCTCCCACAGACCCCCAGGCCTTGAAGGGGGAATCCCTGCTCTTTTAGAACTCTATCCCATTGTGAAAAGAGACCAAGCAAAAGCCAAAAAGACCAAAATCTCCACAAAAGTGTAGCTGAGCATCACATTAATGCTGTGTGGCTTCACTAGAAGGGGATAACCAGTTTGGGGTCTCCTCACTGAGACTTGTCCTATTTTTCCAGGACCCACACTAGGTTATACCAAAATCCCAAAACACAGCCATAAGACCCAGGTCTAGTTTATTCACCAACAAGCCTGATCACATGGGGTGAAAACCCCCAGATCTTTTATTTATACAAATCAATCTGGTAATGGCTGTAATCATGTTTAAGCCTGTCACTGCAATGCACTCAATCGAAAAAGCAAGCCCTAATTCTACAAATTTAGAAGTCCCACCCATTAATGTGGATTTTGCAGAGGGAAATGTAAGCATGAGGTGTGAAAGACAATGCCCCAAAAATGAAGTGGACATTTACTTGCTTAATTTTTAGTGTGGTTCCTTGAAAAAGGGGGGGGCATAGATCTAACCAGGCTGGGAGCTGTTCAGTGAGTGTTACATCAGAGGAATACATGGAAAAAGAAATAGTACCAGATACAATTTATCTGTTTATCCTGGAGATACAGTTTAATTTAAACTAGGATTGTTTATATTGGCACAGCAAAAATTACCTTAACCCAAATGATGGTTACTACCTCTTGGACCTGTTAAAATCTTATTTTCTGAATTTGAGCCCAATGGTATTAAAAAGCCAGCAGCAAGTGATCCTTAATCCATAACAGAACCTCAGGCCCGTGGAACTGTCACTGCAGTTTAATCTCTGCATTTAAACCTACCTGCTTGGCATTCCTAAATACACCTGTACAGGGTTGCACAGGTGAGCCTCACCTCTCCAAAACGAGCCCAGAAAGGTGTGACTGGCATCCCAGGAACAGGATTAGGAGTATTAAATAAACAGCCTGCATACTGTAGGTTTGGCAAATAAATTAAGCTTGGCAACAAGTGATTTGTGTGAGCAGGAGCACCTGTTAGAATCTTCTTTGTTGGTCTTAGGAACTGGTCAATGGGTCTTGGCTGGTGTATTGTCTAAATGGCAAAGATTTCAGGAAAAAGACCCCCAGAAAATTGTAAATGCACTTGGCAGCACTCAGAATAATGTTTCTGTAGCTCTCAGCTGCATCCCAGCTCAGCTGCAGGTGCAATGCACTACAGCAATAAGGGAAGGTGATGAGGGCACCTTACCCACTGAGTTTCAAAAGGTAATTTGGGTAAATAATTTCAACTCAAAAAGTATTTCAAAAACACTTTAATTCAGAAAGTGTTTCTGTTCTTGGTGGCATCTACAAAAACTTCCCTTATAACCCCTCCAGCAGTAGGGCCACAGCTTTTGTGTTAGCTCTATGCAATGTTTAATGGTTGGAACTGATGATTTTAGAGGTGTTTTCCAACCTAAATGACTGTATAAACCAAATCATGGTGTTGGGATTGAATCAGCATGGAATTGTACTCTGTTAGAACCAGGAGCATGGGCCCAGCTAAATGTGAACAAATGGTGAACTGTCACTGCTGCCACGTGTGTTGTGCAGAAACAACAAGGATTTATCTGTGAGTGTAATGCTGTTAACCTCAGACATTTGTCTTGACACCAAACAAAATGTTTGTCTTTTTGAAATACATCCCAGAGAGACCTCAGAGACTCTACTTGGATGTGTTGGGCATGGATGTGTTTGCATGAGAGCTCTTTGTGATTCTCTGTTTATAGAGAGTATGCACAATCCCTCAAATATCTGTAGCTTTTATTAAAATTATGGGATGCAACTTTAAGTATGCAGTCACAACCCACCATGTCACTGTGAGAGTGATGAAAGATGGGAAACATCAGTGGTGAGAAAATCTGCTCAGGTGGTCACCAACAGCCATGGGGCTATGAATGAGGTGTTCCACCTAATTGTAGTCTTGTTAATAATTATAGTTTTGTGTTCACTGTTATATTTTTGTTTATATGTCAAATTACTGCTTATCAAAGTATAAGAGCTATGAGTGGATGTGTGGGTATTGAGGGATCAGCTAATCTGGCATATTATCTTATTTACCAGCCTATTACCCACTCAGTAAATTGACTTCTAGCTCAGATCTGCCTCAGTGACCCCTGACTCCTCTCCTGTAACACGAGGGGTGATGTTCATCGAGTTGAAGGCACACTGTGGGATTTTAAGTCATTTTTTTTCCTGTTCTGTTCCATTTTTCTCCCCCTTGCTGAAAATCTTCTCCGTCTGTTGGTTCATCTCACTTTCCAGCTTGCCATGAGTGGGATGGGTTGGATTTGTGTTCAGTGGCTTTGGGGTCATTGTTAGCTCACTGAGAGGGGACACTGAGAGGTTTTCAGCACTAAACCCAGGCAGGAGCTGGCATTACACTCGTTTTACCTGGTGCCTTCTAGGTCTGGAATGGGGAGAACAGGAGGAATGGGCTGTGAGGTGGAGCCACTTCCAGATGTGCTGGAGTTAGAGATGCAGTGGTTGTTGTGGTTTGCAGCTGGGGCAGGGCAGGAGCTGGCAGTGCAGAGCCAAAAAAGAACCCAGGCACACCTGGGTGTCCAGACTGCGTGTGCTGCATCTTTAATGTGCTTGTGCCCACACTTCTAGGAACTCTACAGAAGAACAACTCTGATCCCATAAAAATTAATGGACTTTAAGTCTCTCAGTCCTTCTGGTGGCATTGAAGACTTCTGCCCGTGTTGTAAGCTCAAAGAAGAGCTGCCATTCTGGGGCTTGAAAGCGGCATCTAAGGGACAGTCATGGGGCATTTAGGGACAAAACCAAGCTTGAAACAGCTGTGAAGATAGCCAAGAGCTGGGAGCTGAGTCCTGCTGCCTGTGTGTGCAGATCAGCATTGGATTAGACAGTGGCCTGGCTTGTTTGCCTCTCTGATGATACCAAATGACTTCTTGGCCCCCTGCCTCACCTGGGGGAAAACAGCTGAATAAATGGAGATATGCAGGTGATCTGCACTACAGGGACTTGTTTCCTGTCTTGTGGCCTTTGTTTTTGTTTTTTTTTTCACTGCTGAACTCAGAGAGGATTTGGATATTTGACTCTCCCCAGCCTGCTGGCCTTGGCAGGAAGGTTTTAACTTCTCAGCACTGAATAAGGTAACTGTGAGAG